ACCTCTCCTGCCTGGCCCGTACTCCTCTCCAAAGGGTATTTCAGTAGATCTGCCTGTTCTACTCCCCACTCTGTCTCTGGTGAATGCTCTCACATACACCCCACCCCCTGTACCTCTGGTCTATACCCAGTTATTATATGCGTGAATAAATAAAATATATCTTTTTAAAAAAGAAGGCTTATAACAAAGATTTTGTACCAGACTGTTACTTCTGTGTAACAAATCAACCCACCTCCAATGCGGATTCACTGTGTCTGCTACTTTGGATCAAATCCACTAATTCAGCTGTGCTCACATGGGCTTCTAAGATCAGCTGCTGGTTGGCTAGGTGATTTAGCTAAATTTAGTTGGGTGCTGGCTTACATCTGGTGCTTCTCTTTGGAAAATAAGGTCAATTCTCTTTCATGAGGTTTATTACCCTCCAGCAAGTTAGCACAGACCTGACATGGTGGTGTCAGGGTTTCAAAAGAGAGATCTAGTCTGGGAACTGGAGTCATAGAATCATCTTACTCTAATAGCCACAGAGTCAAAGGCCAGCCCAGATTCCATGGTGAGGAAGAGACTTCTTGAGGGCAGGCTCGACAAAGTCACATTCTAAGACTATAGAGAGGCTATGAAGAATTAGTGCCATTCTTTCAATCTACTGCAGGTTAATTAATTTATTCAGCCTTTATTGATTGTCATCCATTGTTTCTGGCCCAGTGCTGTAATAAGCCCTAGGATACCATATAGAATAAAAATTGATCTTGTGCTTATTCTTAGTGAAAAATATCATATGGCAACACATCTTTTCCTGAGGCAATCTGGTGACTCAGGGTCAGATTTTATATCTCTTTCCTGAAAGCCATTAGTCTTTAAATTTGATATTACACCTTCTATTAAAAATCATATAAGAAATTCAGGAGTAATTTAGCATGCATAAATTAAAATTGGCTTTGGTGAGAATAATTGACTTCTCAGAGGTGCAGCCAACAGGGAACTGTCAAGATAGATGAGTTTTTACACATCTCAGAGAGAAACTGGAGCTCCTAATGCTAAATTTAGCTTACAAGGATATCTCACATATATTTGACAACTTGAAGGTCTTTAGATTATAGGGAGAATTTTTGTCATCTTCATTTGATGTTTCTCTATCTGATTACTATTTCAGTTGAGACATGTGCGTGAGACCATAGCATAACCCCCCCAAAATAAATGGGCCTTTAGTCTTTGATTAGCTATCTCCCAATGTTATTGAGAGTAAACTATTTTCATGTTATCCAAGTGTAAGACCTGGTCTAGGCAGCATCAAAGGTGTTCTTCAGGATATAGTTTAAAGATTTCAAAATATACCCAATAGAAATTGAATAAATGCTAGAAAAAATGGAACCTAAATATTTTCTTAAAGGTAATAAAGTGATGAGAAGATAGCAAGTAACTACCAGCCACAAGTCTAAAGGAAAACTGGCATCCAAAGAAATAAAGAGTCAATTTTATCCTGAGAAAACGTCCCTATTCTGGTGAATTTGAACGTCAATTTTTTTTTAAGTTTCTTTTTTTTAAGATTTTTTATTTTTTATTTATATAATAGCTGGTGTACAGGTCAGACGTGTGGGAGGGTAAGAGGCTTCACCAGAGATAGAATGAGGAGCAGAACAGGCAGACAGAAAGCACTGCTGTGGGGAGAAGGGGTGCAACAGGAGAGGTCTGCCGCACCATGTGGGAATCTCCCTGCCTGGCTGGGAATCAAACCTACCACTGCAGAGGCTGCGTACAGCTTCACAGCACTGCGCTCAACCTGCTGTGCCACAGGGGAGGCCCTGAACTTCAATTTTGATGGGCCCACAAGACAGGAAAAAAAAAACAAATTGAAAATCTGAAAGTCTATTCAAATCAAAGAATCCCATCTTTTGGAGTTTTGGAATTTTTTTGTTTCCATGTCAATCTAGGGTAGAAGAATTTCTTGAAGATGTCTAACTGCAATTTTATAAGGTGGGCTGTGTTTCCTTTGTTTCTTTTTTCTTTTATTTTTTTAAAGAATATATATATTTTTAAAAGATTTATTTATTTATGCATACAAGAACTGCAGTACAGGCCAAAGGTGCGAGGCGGGGCGATGGGGGTGTGTGTGTGAGAGGATTCACCAGAGACAGAGTGGGGAGCAGAACAGTCAGACTGACTGAAATGCACTGCTGAGGGGAGCAGTGGGCAAGACAGAAGAGGTCTGCTGTGCCATGTGTGTTACTCCCTGGCCGGGGATCAAACTAGTGCTGCAGTGGCTGCGGACAGCTTCATAGTGCTGTGCTCAACCCCTTGCGCCACCATGGAGGCCTGACTGTGTTCCCTTTGGGGTCTTTTTATTTCTTTGGTGCTTTGCATGAGGTGGTAAAAGTCCTCTCTCAGTAACCCTCTGATACTTACACTTTTATCCTTTACATCTCTTTATTTCACTCAGCTCAGGCAAAGCTACTTTGTATCATGATTTCTCCTAAACATTTTGTCTGTAACTGGAATCCTTTCTGTTCTTATGAGTGTACAGGTTCTTGAATGCAAAGCCCACAAGAGAGATCCAAAGACTTCTAGCTTTTCACCCTCCTGCTCCCCTTCCCTAAACACAGAAAGGCTTAGCTTTTGGAATAAAGAGATCAGATGGGGAAAATATTTTAGGAAAAAGACTACATTATTTGATATTTAAAAATTTCTTGGCTGCTTGTGTTTGAAAGCGGTACTACCCTAGATTCAGTGAAGGGATGTCACTGTCGAGGGTCCCATGCTTTAGATGTCCATACCCTGTCTTTTTTTGGGGATGTACTTCTGCCATAGAGACATTTAAAAAAAAATTTATTTATTTATGCATACAAGAGCTGGGGTACAGGCCAGAGGTGCAGGACAGAGGGGAGACAGGGTGAGAGGATTCACCAGAGACAGAGTGGGGAACAGAACAGGCAGACTGACTGAAACACACTGCTGAGGGGAGTAGTGGGCGAGGCAGGAGAGGTCTGCTGCACCATGTGGGTAGCTCCCTGGCCAGCTGGGGATCAAAGTCGTGCTACAGAGGCTGCAGATTGCCTCAGTGCTGTGCTCAACCCCTCGCGCCATCAGGAAGGCCCTGCCATAGAGACATTTGCTAAAGCTAGGGCACCTGCAGATCTGAAGGGCACAAACTCTTTATAGATCATCTTTGTTACTACAGAATTGCTTGTCCAAATGTCCCCCAAGCCCAATTTTAGGACCAGCAGGTAAGTGAGGAGTGATTTAGGGAAGCAATTCTTGCAGGATAAAGAGGTGTGAAAGACACTCATCCCAGTCAGGATGTATGTATGCACATGCATGTGAGGAGCATTAGCATTGTTAGCATAAAAGCAAAACAGGCCTTTCCTTTCACTATGTATTTGTAGGGTCATGTAATAGGAGTCACTTTGATGGAATAGCCTTAAAGATTTACTTACTTATCTGTGCTTCTAACTCAACTGAGTCTGGAGTGGAACCATTACCTAGAACAGAGTAGATGCTTATTAAATATATGTTGACAGAATGTATTACTGGAAACTATGTTGATGTGGGAGTATTTATAGTCTCTCCCAGTGTAATAGTAATTCTATTTTTGCCTGCCTAGCTTGTGAGCCTTTTGGAGGCTGAATTAAGCAACACTAGAACATTCAGGAAGGATAGAATGTTTTACATTAGAAACGTTAAATGATTACTCAAAAGATCAGAGATGGTTAAAGAAAATAGAGTAGGGGCCTCCCCTGGTGGCGCAGCAGTTGAGCGCTGGGCTGCGAAGCTGCCCGCAGCCTTTGCAGCGCCAGTTCGATCCCTGGCCGCAGGAGAGGGTCCCGCATGGCGCGCAGACCTCTCCTGCCGCCCGCGCTCCCCTCAGCAGTGTACTTCGGTCCTTCTGCCTGCTCTGCTCCTTGCTCTGGCTCTGGTGAATTCTCTCACCCTCCTGTGCTTCTGACTGTACCCAGTGCTTGTATAAATAAATAAATAAATATTTCAAAAAAATAAAAATAAAATAAAATAAAATAAAGATAATCTTCAAATCTTGATTCAAAAAAAAAAGAAAATAGAATAAATTCAGAGATGAAGGCAAGCGGACAGCAGGCAAGAGCCCATGTGGACTGGAGTTGGGGAAAATTTGGGGGACAGTTCCTTGATCTGCAACAATCACTAACAGAGTGAGAAAACAATGGGAAAAATAACTCGAGGAGACTTTGTAGTGTGTTATAAATCAAATCCTATTTTGGCACATTTTGAAGAGATTTCAATACAAATTATTTATCCTTTTCAACTATTTTTCTGGTCTTGGACTGTGGTTTCTTTGACTAATGCTCCCTGGAGACTGGACTTTCTATTGGTTTTAAAGAAATGAATGTACTTCCTTAGATTCTCATAAAAAAGATTTTTTTTTAAATGAAAAAGAGAAGGAAATTGTATTTCAGTGATCCTAAGATACATGCTTATGTTTAGTCTTTCCGAAATCAGGATGTGCCTATATGTATGATAGTATAAATGCAAGATTTTCTTTCTTTGTTATTGGGACATTTCTTTTGATATATTAAACTTTTTGACAGTATAAACTTGATAATGTTATACTTTTTTTTAAAAAAAAATCAATGTTGCTGAATTTTAAAATTATTTGATAAGAAAACTTACAGCTGTCATTTTCCACTACGTGTCAGAAAATCTTTGAGTGTTTTGCCTTCCTAAGCTTTGGTCAAGTGAGGATAGTGGGGGAAGGAAAGAGAAAGTGGGGGACCCCCAATATGGAAGTAATGGCCAAGGGTAACAACTCCTGGATGGAGGGGATGGAATGACAGGGTAATAACAACTGTCTCCTCTTGCACCAGCATCTCAGCATCTCAGCATCCCGATTTTCTGTCCAGGAACAGCTGTTCTCTGTCGGTGGGGTAGGGTGGGGGGGATTGCATCCCTAGAGACTGGCATTATGCCCACTCCCGCCATCCTCCTCATCAAAAGAAGGCTGGCTTTGAAACCAAGAAATAACAGCTTGATTGTGTTAAGAAATTTTTATTGTTTCCTTTGGATTTGTGGTGAAAGCACATAAAATTACAAGTGGAGGAAACATCATGCCACAAAATTGCATAGAATTATTACAAAAATGTGAATTATGCATTTTAAATAATCTGGGATAGGAGAACCAAAATATGTACATTTTAAGAGCCTCCTATTCTTTGCCCTATCTTTATTCATTTTCTGAAAAGACAAAAATCACAAGGTCCAATCCATCACAAACAATATTTATACAGTGCACAAGAGCGACATTAAATTCAAAGTACTGCAAGCAATGGTCCTTTCTTTTGGAATGACTGCTTATCTATTACAGGAGTATTACTTAATGTATGGCAATACTGAAATGTTAAAATGAAAATTTAAAAACCCAGAACACATGGCATGTCATCAGAACTTGGAAAATTGGTTTACATGGCCAAAACCACGCTATTCTCAGTAGTGTAAAGGTTTCAGAAGGATACAGTCTAATTTAGTACACAGCTCTACTCTCTATTATAGGAAAACCACAGTACAGAATTTCACGCATTCAACAAAGAACAAGGCAAATACATAAAGGCACAAAAACTGCACATCATATAGACCCTTTTTCTTTATCTTAGTCTATTTCAAGTAATATTAATATTAGTAAATGCTATATCACTGTAGTAGTTCAATGATGCAAGATGGACAGTGTTACACACTACCCCACAACTGCAAAAAGTGTCATTGTACAGATATAAAAATGTGGTTACAGTAAATGGCCAAATACAAACGTATTGCAAAATGACTAATCACTAAGATCATGAAATCCAACTACTAAAAGTTTTGTGTAAGTCAAGGTTACTCAACCTTAGCCTATTTCTGCACTAAAATGTGTACAATGTTCTGTAATAATCACCATTGTGTTTGGTTATGAATGCTATTTATTCTTTCGTTCTTCTGCAACTTTAGACAGTCTGTAATTTTGTTTATAAAAATGCAGCATTCTATTTTGACCATTTCTGCTTCCTTGTATCAATGCTTTTCATTCAAAGTGCAAAAGTAGAATGATTTATAAAAGATTTCTCTCTCAGTGAAGTTAAGTTTTATTAAGTGTCTAATTAACACCCCAAATCATTCAGATTAAAATATAATCAACTCCAAAGGGGACAAATTTTCCCCCTTGTGTCTCACTAGATGTGTTTTTTTAATCAAACACTCCTAATGTTCGAACTAAACCTTCATTTTGATGAAAACTTAATTGCAATCTCTAGTTATTGCTTAAAGTTAAATAAAATAATTCCCATAAAAATATTAAATTCTTCAAATACAATTTTCAGGACACAAATAGCTTTTGTGTTTTAAAATGTTTTTCAAAGCTATAATCAGACAGGTTTATTTTAAAGTAAAATAAAACTGTTTATTTTGAAGTAAAATAAAGCTGTGAGCATCTTGCTTCAGGGCTTTAACCTCAATGGTCTTTGTGTTACTCTCTATATTATATTTCTTCTATATAATTATTCTCTCTTATTTAAGACCTTTCAATAATAATTTTGATCAGCTATACCATAATACAATCTGTTTCTCTTATGTAATTTAACAGGAATTTAACAGAAAGACACAATTAGTGAATTAAATGTACATAGTTAATATATAATGAAATGTTTTTTGCTAAAATAACAAAAAATCATGGAAGATACTAATATATTTCCATATTGCTGTCCTACACCATTTTGTCTATTTTCACCATTAAATGAAGATTAAAAGACTATGCTTAAAATCCAGTTTTTGATTCAGCAAAATATGTATGAAATTCATATTCTAATTTCTAAATCTACCTCAATTTGCATCAACAGCTCCATCATTTGTTTTTTACTATTTCAATATACTGTAATACCCATGTAATCTTCTTATTTAACTACTGTTATCATCTCTGTCCATTTATGACCAAATTTGGCTTTAAGTCTTGTGGGGGAGATCTGTGTCACTGCCAATTAGGAAACACACATCGACACTCATATGAATGTATATGCGTATGTGTGCATATGTGTGTGCACTTACATGGTCAAGTGTGTACATATATACATGGAAATAATATATATCATTTATACGTGGGTCTGTATATTCTTTAGCTAAATATTCATTCTTTATAGTAAAAATAAATGAACCATAAAAAATGTCAGCAAAGTAACCATTGGAACCTATTTCATACTGATTTAATCTCTATTTACCTACATCAGCTCAACTGTATTTATGCAAACTGACTCTTTGCAGCTATTGAAATCATTTCACACCAAAAACCAACGGATACCCAGACTTTGAGTGGAAATAGTCAACTCAGTACACTGCCTGAAAGCGTGTGGCCAACTCGCTCATGCAGCCAAAATGTACAAGCCAATATATTGCCAAGTCTTGGGGTAGCTTCACTGGGCAAGAATACAATCAAGTTATTTTTTTTTTTTCAAAAAATAAAAGCAGCTTATTTGAATCACTATGATATCTAATAAAACTATGTCAGCAACAAATACACTGATGCCTCTATGATAAATAAATTAGCAAACTGCAAGCCACCAGTGCTTGCAAAGCAAAGGATGAAACAATTTAATATACATGTTAGTATGAAGATATGTTAGTTGAGGGGCAGTTAAGGAAAAAAATGCTCAAAGTTGTTTGTTCAATGGTGTTAAATAGTGCTATGCAATTCTCAATCTATTTCTATTACACTGAAATACTTTACACTAGAGCTTCAGATACAAACATGAGCTTGATCTTCTTCAAAAAAGACATTGTCCTTCATTAAATGTTCCATGGAGACTGGAAGTTTCCAGCTTTGAATTTACACTGGAAAGAAAATAAAAATTCCACGAACATGCATTCTCTACTAGTAGACCTGCAGCAGTTTCCACATAACACCTGGAGCCTGGGCATGGGGACCTCTGCATGGATCCTTCTGGAATTTTCCCTTTGTTATAGATTATAGGTTAAGGGATGCCTCTCAGGAAGATGCTCCTGGGTGGTGATCTTTGTAGTAAGAGAGCCCAATGGAGCTAGAGTCGCCACGCAGGTCCTGAAGGCCTGGCTGGAATCATCACAGAGGAGTATCAAACTCTTTTCCTGGGTTGTCTCCTTCTAGCTCCTCACTCGGGGGTTTGTGATTCAGTTTCCCAGGGTCTGGGGCCAGGGAGGAAGGGGCAGAACTGTGGTTGCTGTCTTCACTGATCTTCCCTTTCATGGCTTCTTGCACAAACTCCAAAATCTCCAGGGGCAGCCTTTTGAACTTGTCTTGATACTCTTGCTCCAACTCTGTCTGCAGCTGGGAGACATCAAAAGAGGAGAAGAATTTTAGGTCATTTAGGTTGTGCAGCTTTATAGTGGTAAGTCTTTGAAAGAGATATGCAAAGACTGGGGAGAAGGAAGTTAATTTAGATATCACCCACTGGTTACCTATAGAAAAGCTACAAGGCAGTTTACAAATAAGTATGTCATTTGTCCATAGCTGAAAGTCAAGTTCAGGTTATGTGTTGCATAATAAGGCTAAAGACCTCCAAGAATATAAGCAAATATATGTAAGCACATGGATGTGCAGTAGGCACACAGGTGAGTCTTTTGAAAAAGTTTACAGAAAGAATTTGCAATGATCTGAAGTTCTTAAATATAAAGATTAGAAGCTTCTGGTAGTTGGGAAGCCAACAGCAGCCATGAATGGGGCTGGAAAGAATGAAGAAGTTAACCAGCATAGAAAGAGGAGCTAGAAGGAGGTTCTCAGGGGTTGAGAAGCCACCGTTGAGTGCTTTTAAAGAGTTGTTTAATGCATTTTTACATGCCAAGCAAGCTCATCTAACCAATTTTAATTTCTATTTTGACTCTTTTAAAATCACTTTAATTCCTTTTCTCATTCCAATTTTTATTTGCCTTGTAACCTGTTTGTGCTACCTTTTAAATTGTCTTTAATTTTATATTTAATTTAATTTTATTTTTTAAAAAGATTTATTTATTTATTTATACAAGCACTGGGTACAGTCAGAAGCGCGGGAGGGTAAGAGAATTCACCAGAGCCAGAGCGGGGAGCAGAGCAGGCAGAAGGGACCGAAGTACACTGCTGAGGGGAGCAGCGGGCGGCAGGAGAGGTCTGCGGCCATGTGGGACCCTCCTCCGTGGCCAGGGAGCAGCCGGGGATCGAACAGGCGCTGCAGAGGCTGCAGGCAGCTTCGCAACCCAGAGCTCAACCACTGCGCCACCGGGGAGGCCCTTAAATTGTCTTTTAATGTATCTATTTAATGCTGCGGGGAATTTTCAGACATCGAAAGGTCACAGAATTCTTTCCTCAAGTGCAGACTTATGTGGAGGCCCTAGTCATCAAACAATTAAGAACTATGATGTCTCCCTCAAAAGTAGAGTAAGGGGTAGAGGTTCTGTCTGTTGGGAAGCTCTGCTTTGTTGAGCCCAATGAAAATCCAGAATTTTTTTTATTATAAATTTTTAAAAATTTAAAAAAATGTTTTACATCATTGTTCATTTTTAAACAATATTTGTTTTCCCCCACCCCCTCAGGTGTAGTCCCCATAGAATTTCCTTTACCAAAGCACCCGTGCACCATCACCTCGGTCCCCTGTGCTCCTCCCTCCCTCCCTCTAATCCCTCTCCCTCCTCCCCCCTGCAGGATGTCTCTGATTTATAATTTCTTGTTTTTGCTTTGTTGTGTTTTGTACTGTTATTATTATTTTTTTACACTGATGTCTTATTTGGTCCCCTATATTCCTGTTATAAGTGAAACCATATGATATTTTTCTTTTCCTTCTGGCTTGTTTCACTGAGCATAATTCCTTCTAGCTCCATCCACATTGCTGCGAATGGCATGAGTTTATTTTTTTGATTGCTGAATAATATTCCATTGTGTATATATACCACATCTTCTTGATCCAGTCATCTATTTTGGGGCATTTGGGTTGTTTCCAGGTTTAGCCTATTGTAAATAGTGCTGCACTAAACATAGGGGCACAGGTGTTCTTTTGAATCAATGTTTTTGTGTCCTTTGGGTAGGTCCCTAGTAGTGGAATTGCTGGGTCATATAGTAGCTCCAATTTTAGTAGACTGAGGAACCTCCAGACAGCTTTCCATAGTGGTTGGACCAGTTTGCACTCCCACCAGCAATGTAGGAGAGTTCCTTTTTCACCACATCCTCGCTAATATTTGTTGTTGCTAAATTTTTTTATATGTTCCATTCTTACTGGTGTAAGGTAGTAGCTCAATGTAGTTTTGATTTGCATTTCCCTGATTATAAGGGATGTTGAACAGTTTTTCATATGCCTGTTGGCCATTTGCATTTCCTCTTTGGAGAAATGTCTTTTAAGTTCTTCTGCCCATTTCTTGACTGGGAAAATCCAGAATTTTAAATAAAACTTTCTTTGCTTATTCAATGGTAATGTAATAATAGAAATGGTATGTAAGACCAAAGGTTTTTTCTCCTCTTATAACCTTTAGGCAGCTTTTCCAAGATGTGCCCTTAAAACTTTAGGGAATTTCTTTTGGTTCTCCACAAACTTTATGGTACACACAAAATCATCTAGGATCTTGACTTTGATTCCAACTCAGGAGATCTGGGTGTAGCTCAAGAATCCTGCTTTTCTCAGTCACTCATGGACCCAGTCATGGGCTGGTCCACTTTGGAAACCCTGATTATCTTCCTGTCTCTAAGCTCCTTAATCTATTTATTTCTCAATCCTGGTGGAATGACCTCACCTATAGTGCTCAGTGCAGTCTCTGCGGCTCACCTAACTCTGATCCAGCTGGGTTGTAGCCAAACTTTAGGGCATCTGCATTTTGGTGTCTTGCCCGCTTTCTTTACCCACATTCTGGGCAGTGCCAACATATTCTTTAGTTGAACTCTTTTTTGCTTTTGTTTCTATGCCAGAGAAGTTTTGCTGAGACTTAGTTATTTAATATAGGTTCCATAATCCCTTATCTGTAATTGTAAAATTCCTCACGATCTGACATCATAAGTATTTTGTAAATTTGTGGCAAACTCATTGACATGAACTGATATCAGGCTATTTATATAATTTATATTTATCACACTTCGTGTGAATATCCATGCACAGTCCTGCAGACATATTAATTTGTTCAATTGTAAGGATGACCCATTGTCCCTGTAGAGTCATTTGTTTTGTTTTTTCCTTAGACACTTTAGATTATTTCACCTTTTTTTTCTTCTCTGGGAGCATGTGCTTTTTATATTTAAAATTTTATTTCTCACTGTCTTTTTAACCCTTTAAAATATAACTCCAGCCTTTGGGAAACAGGTAAGGTAACAGGGTAGTGTAATTATTTTGCTTAAAATATTTTGAAATTTACTGCTCAAAACTAGGGAAGATAATCATACTAACCAGCAAACAAGCAAAGAAACAACAAAAAAAAATCACTAAAACTTAAGGTGTTACTACCTAAATAATGTCATATGGCCAATAAAAGTAAATGAATAAATAACTATAAAAACAGGGGAAAACAATTACCTTACTGTGTAAAATTCAGAAAGTCTACATATAGTTACATATGTGCTGTGAAGATAAGTATATGAGTATATTTTCTAAGATACAGATCTACTTTGAAGGGAAAGTAAACTAAAATATAAACTGTGTTGGGAATATGAACATTTTTATTTTTTCCATTTCTCATTTTTATGGTAATGTGATTCATATTTGAATTTAGCATAAAAATAGCATTCTAAAATAAAAACAAAATCAAATATTTTTTGAAAATACAAAAAGTAGAGCTCTAACTAGATAAAATGACTAAGAAAATTTGAAGAATTACAATGAAAACAACGGGAAAAGCATTAAAAAGTACATACATTGATTGTGCAGCTTCAAAATCAGCCTGAGCAACCTTGCAAAGACTCATCTTATTTTTAGAATAATCTCATGAATTTTTCACTTCTACCAAGAATAGAAATAACAGGATCATATAAAAAATACAGAAAGAGGTCAGTTAAGTTACCAGAGGATTGATGGAAAAAGGGGTGTGGGAAAATGGGACTACATTTATGTCTCCTAACCATTCTAGTTTGTATTTATTTGTTTTCCTCTAAACTTCCTTAGAATAAATTGCAATGGGACTTTGAGACAAAATGGCTGACTGAGTGGGAAATTCTTTCTTCTACTTGAAGTACTGGGACATGCTGAATAAAATAGAACATATATATTTATTGAAATTTAGAGCTGAGTTTTAAAACTAGAAAACAAAAAGTCACAGAAATAAAGGAGTTCTAATGCTCCGAGAAGATGGTAGAGAAAGTCTGCAAGTTTTGGTTGTTGGAATGCTTGAAAGGAGGACTAGGAAAACTCCATCCATAATGCTCGGGGATGAAGGGAGAAAGCTAGTCATTCATGGACCCACTGAAGGAAAAACATCAATAAGGAATCAGAAACCCAAACTAATATCTTGAATAATAGTTTTTAAATTCATATTACCTCTGTGAACTGATACCCAGTGCTAATAAATCAAAGCAAAAGCTGTTCAGAAATGGATAAACTAATGGAGTCCCAGCAGTAAATTCAGCTATTTGGATTCTTCACAGCCCAGGGATTCTTCACAACTCTACCATTACCAATGAATGTGAACTCAAGGTTCAAAAAGCCACTAAAGTTAAATTGAGCATTTGTTTAACCTTGTATTTCAAGGTTGCTATTGGCAACTGAAATCTAAAGAAAATGAGTAAAATGGTGATCAGCTTATTTCTAGGTTGAAATGGAAAATAATTCAAACCTAAACAGAAATAAATTAGATTGCTTAAATCAATATTAAAGAATCTATATGGTCAGTTCACAATTTGTATAATTTCCTGATGCTTTTAACTAAGTACTTTTAATCTAGCCCTGCCTATATTTTTGGCAGGTTTTTCTAAATAATTTTATTTGCTTGGAAATGATATTCAAATATATTTTCATCTGGTGAACAAATACCAACTGCCAATAAAGACTTTTGCAAAGGTTAAGAAGGCAACCACAATTTAAAATGTTGCTACAGATCTATTAAAGTGGATAATTCCTTGAGGGATAGATCAGATTCTCTTAATAGGGAGCTTGCATTTTACCAAGTATGACCTTGGACAATTTATTTAATATTTTGGAATTTAAGTCATCTCATATATAAAATGAGGATAATGATGCCAATTTCCATAGATTGCTGCTTAAAGGTTTAAGTAAGATCAAGCATTTTAAGCAATTAGAATATTGTGCTTGCTTATTAATTAATTGTTAATAACTTCATTTCTAAAGAGAGAGAAAAAAGAACTTTCACCTGAAAATATCTGGAATG